ACATCTTGTACTTCTGAAATTCTTACAGATCTAACATTCAAAAGTGTCAGATAAAAAAAATTTGCTTTATGACCGGGAGAGGGCGGAATTATAATGAACAACTATATTCCGAGACATTTTATGGGGGTGGGGTGGGGGAGGGGATAAACATGGGAGGGGGAGTGCACGGGGCTATGGTGATGGCGCACGGGTGATCTGGTGATGGGAAGCCCACGGGGACTGCAGCTGAGATGGAAAAAGGCACAAAATGATGTAAAAATAAAAATGTTTTCCCTTTATAAGCTTAATTAGAATTTTAAGATCCAGAATTTAGAACATAGGTATAAACTGAGTGGAACAGTGCAGAACTCAGCACTGATTACTTAGACTAAAATGGGCTACGATTTGAAGAGATTATTATGACTTCCAGTTGTATTTGTAGAAGTTGCTGGAATTTCTGTGCCATCACTGTTTACTCCCCTCTGTCTCCTCTCCTATCGAATAAAAATAATACCCTGTTCTTATCTACGAAGCATAATGAGGATAGATATTTAGTGTAAGTAATTTGAGATCCCTTAGGAGAGTCTTGAAGGCAGAAAAATATTACTGCTTGCCCATCAAATTTAATGTTAAGAAAGTCTATTATTTTATAAATTTAACTTTTGTGCTAAGTGAACTGTACGTTTATGATAGATTTAACACAACTTAACACTAAGATGCTAAGTTGAGCTGATTCTGAGATGCATTATTTTTTTGCTATACTGTGTTTATAGCTGGAACAGATGGTGATCAAAATGGACTTGATCACCCATCTGTTGAAGTTTCCCTGGATGAAAACTCAGGAATGCTGGTAGACGGGTTTGAAAGGACTTTTGACGGGAAGCTCAAGTGCCGGTACTGCAACTATGCCAGCAAGGGGACCGCCCGGCTCATCGAGCACATCAGGATCCACACCGGTAAGGAGAAGAGCCGCGCTCGGGGCAGCCGCCGGGGCGCTGTGCTTGGTCAATAGTTTTAATAGTTTAAAAATGAAGATTTGAATTAGTGGGGCAGCAGTTGTTCCGTTTTATAAGACAAAACAACAGCATAGCCTCGGCAGGCAGGAAGTGCAGCCCTGTGGCCCCCTCCCTGGGCCTCTTGACCCAAAGCACTCCTCAACATCTGTCTGTCAGGTCTGGTTAGTACTAAAGGCAATATAAGGTGCCAAAATGTTACTAAGTGTTTCAGTTGCATGAAGGAGAAAGCTTTCATTAGTTACACACTGTACTGCTAACCCTCAGGCCTTCCCTCATTCCTCCTGTGCAGTCCTGGCTACCCTGCTCTTGCTGAAGGCAGGTCAGGTCCCTCTGTGCCCCAGGGCTTCTTGTGCCCCCAGGCTGTGCAGTGGTGGTCTGAAACCATAGGCAGGATTGTGGCAAGGCTTTCTTGTGCCCCAGAGCCTAGCAGAGCGTCTGGCACCTAGTAGGTAGTCAGTGTTGTCACAAGTGCCTTCAGATCTCACACTCCAGGTATTTCCACATATTCGGGCCACCTTAGCTTAACAACATCATCTAAAATTGTCCCTTTGGTAACAAGAGGAGAGGAGGAAGATGAAGCATCAGGAATCTTGAAGGCACACTTTGGTAATTCCTACTGGAACCAAAAAGCCCATTTTGACTTTGAGGTTTCTGTTAAAGGATTTACATAAAAAGGTTTTCTGCATTTTTGTTTTCCTGGCAAAGGGGTGTTTATTCATGTGTGTGTGGGTGAAGATACATAAAGAAGAGTTTGTGTCTAGCTGGACACCTGAACTGGCGTGAGGCATACTTTTGATACAGTTATGAGCAGGGACTACTGCATCCTCAGCTCTGCTAGTCTTTTCCCAAATACTGCCGGAAGCCGTAGCCATTTTAACACTTTTGACAGTGGCGTCATCTGCTCATCTCAAATTGTTGCTGACATGTTCTTATGCTTTACTTATGCCTGTAAGTTTACTACAAATTTTAATAATCTTGTGCAGATGTGAATTTCTGAAAATTTCCAAGTCTTTCACAAGCAAGCAATTTCTGTAGTCTATATCCGATTTTTCTTCTTAAACAGGTGAGAAACCTCATCGATGTCACCTGTGCCCATTTGCATCTGCTTATGAGCGCCATCTGGAAGCCCACATGCGTTCCCATACAGGAGAAAAACCATACAAATGTGAATTATGTTCCTTCCGCTGCAGCGATCGAAGTAACCTGTCCCATCATCGACGGCGCAAGCATAAAATGGTACCAATTAAAGGTACTAGGTCTTCCTTAAGCAGCAAGAAGATGTGGGGGGTCTTACAGAAGAAAACGGGCAACCTGGGCTATAGCCGAAGAGCACTCATCAACCTCAGCCCGCCTTCCATGGTGGTTCAGAAGCCGGACTACCTGAGCGACTTCCCCCACGAAATCCCCAACATCCAGACTGACCCCTATGAAAGCATGGCAAAGACTGCACCCACTGGCGGCCTGCCACGGGACACCCAAGAGCTCGTGGTTGACAACCCTTTAAATCAGCTCTCCACGCTGGCAGGACAGTTGTCCAGTTTGCCACCTGAAAACCAAAACCCCACGTCCCCTGACATCGTTCCCTGCCCCGACGAGAAGCCTTTCATGATGCAGCAGCCCTCTGCCCAGGCGGTGGCTTCTGCCGTGTCAGCGAGCATTCCGCAGAGCTCCTCTCCCACCAGCCCTGAGCCTCGGCCGCCACATAGTCAAAGGAACTACAGCCCTGTGGCGGGCCCAAGCAGCGAGCCCAGTGCCCACACGAGCACGCCGAGCATCGGGAACAGCCAGCCCAGCACGCCAGCGCCCACCCTGCCAGTCCAGGACCCGCAGCTTCTCCACCACTGCCAACACTGTGACATGTACTTCGCCGACAACATCCTTTACACGATTCATATGGGATGTCACGGGTATGAAAATCCTTTCCAGTGTAACATATGTGGGTGCAAATGTAAAAACAAGTATGATTTTGCCTGCCATTTTGCGAGAGGGCAGCATAACCAACACTGATGGAGAACAATCACGTGTGCTTTATTCGGTTTCGCCATTTTGTGTTTGTGGTTTTAATTTGCTCCTGTACGTGTGTGGAGGGTCATCCCCAATTAAGTGTCTGCTAATTTAAAGTCTTTATTTACAGAATATGAAATTGACAAAAAGCTGGTCAGGGTCATTTATGTACTAGAACGCAGTGTCTGTTTTCTGCTTTCATTTAGATATTTGAGATTTGGTGCAGTCATAACCTTACAGGTGATCATCTATATTTTCCACATTTAAGGTCCACAAACACTTCAAGGCTTGGTAGCTCAGTGTACTGGGCTGGATGCTGCTTTTCCATGTTTCAGAATGGCAGAATAAGTCACAAAAGCTACTACAGCTATTTCCATGTTTAGTAGAGGAATTGCCTTTAAAATTGCTCTTAATTGAAATACCATTTAGTCCACAAAGTTCAAGCTGAATTAGTTTCATTTCAGCTGATAACAACGCTCTTTCCTCTTTTTTCCCTAAGAGGAAATGTAAGTTAATTCTTTTTAGTTACAAAAGTATAAGGTGAAAGTACTGAAAAGAAATGAAATTTAAGCCTTGAAAATGAGGTTCAATATTTAAAATGTCGTCGGTTCATTCCATTTCTGATTTAAATTATCAAATTTCCATTGAATTCTTTTCATTATATAAAAAACCACAGGTAAATGCATGAGAACGCTGGAAACACTGGAGTATTATCTGTGAAGATGCCTTCCCCCTTTAATTTGAACCTTCCCTTTATATCCTTCACCTGGCATTGTCTATGCCAGGTGAGGATGGTAACTATACTGAGAATGTCATTCTTCCTATTCCTTTGATGACCAAAGAGGGACAGTGGACGTCATCCATCCCATTCCTAGGAGATGATGCAGACCTTCAGAAAGATTGCTGAAGTTTTCCTTCCCTGCCTTCTGTCCACAATTTCAAGAAAAGGTAGTTTTAGAAACACAGAAGTGTGAAGGCTGAGCAAGATTTCCAGAAATGAGATGCTATCTCCAGAACAGATCCTGGCCTGCTCTTCAGAGTTGGCCATTTAAAACATTTTCTGTAAATTCGAGCGGTCATGCTTATTTATAGCCCCCCAGTCTTTCATGTACAGTGGCAAAACTATATGGAAACTGTGGTTGAACTATCACCTTAGTAAGAAAAGCTAAGGTGTGTGATAGATATAAAATACATTTAAACGCAGCACTTGTTTACAAAAATGAGACTTGCTAAATAAGTCTAGAGTAATTTCTCAATAGGCCATTGTTTTTATATTGTGTAATATCTAGCTGACTCTGAAGACAGCTTGGTCAAACAATAAAATACATTGTTACTAATAGTTGGTTTCTGTGTACTTTGCAAAAGTTACTTTTAATTTGGTTCAAATCTTGAAAGTGTTACTAATTGGCATCTCAACGAGAATATCCTGACTATTAAGTGTTTATTAACCAAAAGGGCCTCTCTGTAAGTAAAGGGAACTGTTGCTGGCAAATGCTCACAGCTTCCTCCAAGTGCCAAGTCAGTGGGTCTCCTTCCTTCCAGACGCTGAAGCCATTCAAACGAGTTCTTGTGGTTTACTCTCCAGTCTAATCACCACCGCGTAGTTGCGAGAGCAGCATGAAGGCAGTCTCCAAAAGCTATCCGTAGCTCTCCTTGTCATGTCTGAGGCTGGTGAAGCTGAGATTTTTCTGTTTGCTCTGTTGTCAAAAGCCCTCCCTGCTCAGGTCGGTTGTAGTTTGGCCATTTCCAAATGTGTAGCTTGGCCTAGTGTTTGTTTATTGCCAGAGAAACTGGTCACTGTCATTTGGAAGCTTTGCGATGACTTTCCCTTCACTTGTTTTATTCTTCAAATAAAAGCAATACCCCAAAATAGTGAATTTCCCATAGATGAGGAAGAACTCTAGTGAAGACCAGTTTATTTAGTGTGTATATTCTGGGCCAAATAGTGACAAATATATTTTTTTCTAACAATTGAAGATAGATGTTTTGAAGATGCATTTTAATTTAACCATAGAAAAGATTTTTTTCATAATTACAAATAAGAATGTATAATTCTAATTTTCCTATGACTTAGAGAGCACAGTTGGTATTCCAAAGGTGTCAATGCTTGAAAGTTACACAATTCTAAATGCACTAAAGTTTTTGAAGCAAATCTACCTTAGAAACTTTTTTAGTATTGTATTTTTAAAAAGATTTAGGACTTTATTTAAATATTTTGTGAGTTAAATTCTGTATTTGGAAAGATGTTAGTATCTTTCATTAAGTATTGACTATGTTTCTCCCATTTTATTTTTAATCAAATATTTTATAGAAATGAGTTGGGAAAAGCTTAACATGCACTATTTATAGTAAGTACCTTGCTGATAACAAGCAATGTTCTGAAACTAAATTATTTTTGTTCAGTGAACATAAGTTTAGATTTTTAAAGTTGGTAGATAATTTATCTCCACTAATATTTTTTTAAGAAACTGTGAAATTATTAACATGGAATACTTTTATTTCAGATGTTACAAATTAGTATGTGTAGCTACAACTTTTGATTCAAGTAAAGGCTAGACTTTTACTTCGAACAATTCCATTGGATATTTTCCAATGCTGTTTCATTTTAGAAATAAGGTTGCCATTCATCTGCTGGATTGTTTGACAAAAGGGTCATTATAGAGAATGTTCAGAGATAAACCTTATCTAAGTTCTGTAAGAATATTTATCAAATGGATGTATTATTAAAATGTAAAAATTCCCTGCTACAGACTTTTTCATTAAATAGTCGTAGAGGGTATGTGATTTCTAGAATCTGTTTTTGTTAATATGTACTTTGATGTAAAGAACATATTTTGTATGCAAAAAAAAAAAAAAAGTATGGTTTCCATACACACAGTCTGTGTAGGATTCCGGAAGCAGTTTAATGCTGAAACCAGTATGTAGTTGATATTGTAAATGAAGCTTTGCTTTTGTAATATATAAATAAAAAAGTAACGCTTTCTAATGATCTCAACTTTTCTTTTTTGAACGCTAGGATTTAGTTGTTTTTTTTCCCCAGTATTTAAAATAAAAAGGTTTTGTGGCCCTCTCTGGTGGCGCAGCGGGTTAAAGCACAGCACTAAGAAGATTAAGCCACTTCCTCATGAGTTCGATTCCCGCCTGCCCCGGAGGAGATCCACATGGCGGCGGCGGCAGACCTCTCCTGACCCGCCCGCTGCTCCCCTCAGCAGTGTACTTCGTCGATCTGCCTCTTCTGCTCCCCATGTCCCTGGTGAATCCTTTCACCCTCCGCATCTCTGGCCTGTACCCCAGTTCTGTATGAATAAATAAATCTTAAAAAAAAAAAAAAAAGGTTTTGTGGCTACATGGGCTAGGATTTGCAGAACGCCTGTCCATAGATGTCACGAGTGGGAAACGGCACCAGAGACATGCCTCTGTCCCTTTGCTAGTTCCCTCCTCCGCGTTCAAGGCCATTGGACTCAGTCCCCAGCCTTGGCCTGTGGCTCTGACAGAGCAGGGGCAGCTGTTCTGAAGCTGTTTTCATGTCAAGTTCAGCAAGTGGCTGCCTGAAGTCATTCCTCCAGGGCAAATGCGTCTTTTAGAATGGACTGACTTCTTTAAAAACTTGAGTTTTTGACAATTTATGCATCATTGGCCGAAGAAAACATCCAGAAATGCAAATTGCTTGCAAAATCTGACAATTGACTGGAAATTAAAAAGTTTAATGCTTTGAAAAATACTTATGTACAATGTTATCTTTCTCATGATGAAAAAAAGGGATGATACCTGGTATGTCCGTAATTTGTTGAAAGCACAGGTATTTTTTGTTTCCTTGCCTTAGGTCTTCCAAAAATTCTGCTTTGAGCTTGTTAAGTTCTTCTGCTAGAAGTTTCAAATTGTAAGGAGGCACTTGTTCATCTAAAATAAAAAGATATCCTCCAGTTATCTGTAAATTAAATCAGGCTTGGGCTTGATGACATCAGGAAATTAATTTGATTACTTCAAATAAGCCAGACACCTATAATCACAGTTGCTGTGTTCCACAGACAAAAATTCAAAGAACTAAAAAAAACTTGCAGAAAATACAGGCCTGAAAGGAATTTTTTTTTTTTTTACCAAAAACAATATTGTTGACTTATCTTACTGACTTAATAGGTAATGAGGCAGAAAGAAAATCAAATAGAAAATGGTGATTTAGTTTTGAAACTGCTAATATCTGTAAGAGTCCAGACCACTTTCTGCAGTGACTTGTGCCCTGTGCCTGCTGAAGCACAGCACTCACTCGCCATGTCGCCAGCTGAATGAACAACTCGGTTTTGTTAAACAGCTTTACTGAACTGCAATTCACCGACCATACAATTTGCTCGCTTCAACTACAATTTAGTGACTTTAATATATTCAGAGTGCAGTGGTCACTACAGTCCGTCTTAGAACATTGTCATCTCAGACCTGCACCCTACATGTCACCTACCCACCCTGCCCAAGCCTCCTGGGTTTGGGTCATAATTCCAGTTGTTGAACTCTCCAAAGTTCAAATCCCTATAAAAATCAAATCAAAATCCCTATAAAAATAATTCTGGAAAAATTTTTTTTTAATTCTTTAAATAGACACATTTCTGGGGCCTTCCTGGTGGCTCAAGGGGTTAAGTCTCAGCACTATGAAGCTGTCCGCTCCCACTGCAGCACGAGTTCGCTCCCCGGCCAGTGAACTGACCCACACGGTGCAGCAGACCTGTTTCCTGCTGCCCCCCTCAGCAGTGGATTTCAGTAGATCACATGTTCTGCTTCCCACTCTCTTCCTGGTGAATCCTCTCACCCCGCACCTCTGGCCTACACTCCAACTCTTAAATGCATAAATAATCTTTTAAAAAGACACATTTCTAAAGGGAATTGAGAAATAGGACAATAGTGCATGAGCCATTTCACAAGGTAAAATAACATACCAGGAGGGACATTATCTTTCACAAATGTACAAAAAGGACATCTTTTGTTGAGGAAGTTCTAGCACTTTTCTGTATATGCACACTACTACAGATTTGAAGATTTGTGCATTCTGCAGAAGAAAACATTTCAGTTGAATCCCTAAATCATAAAGACTGATTTGGCACTGAGTCGGATAGTTTTCTAAAAGTGAATTTCAGGGTGTTAACCAGTAATGGGTTATTCCATTTAGCCCAATGTATTGAGTGAAACCTTCAGATGAGGGGATTGTTGTCGCGTGGCAACAGGACTTTCAACTGAGACGTGCACCCGACCCCATGTCGGCACACCTAGACGATGCGGGTGTCCCTGTGTACAGACACACCTGTTACTTACCGGGTTGTGGTTTTTAGGACTTGGGACTTTGGGATTTCGAACTTTCAAGATTCAGCATTGGGGTTATTATGGCGTTAGGGACTGTATTTTAGGATTGTGACCAGCATCGCACCCCCTCAACTCCAATCCCTAAGCAACACTGATCTTTCTGCCTCTCACCTGTCATGGACATTTCACCGCGGGTCTAGTATGGCCTTTAGTAACTGACTTCCACTTGACGTTTGCAAGGTCGGTTCATGCTGCAGCAAGGGTCCGTGTCATTCCATTTTAGGGCCGGGGGACCCGCTGTACGGATACACCCCGTTTTGTTTATGCATTGCCAGCTGATGTTTCCACCTTTTGCTGCTGTGAACTTTTGTGTACAATGAACATGTTTCCTCTGACGTTCCTGGGCATGGGAGCGATGGGGGTCCCCTGGTAACTTGACGTTTAATCATTTGAGGAATTGCTGGGCAGCTGGTTTGCAAAGCCACTTCACCCTCTTCTATCGCCGCCAGCAGCCTGGGAGGGCCCTGACGTCACAGTCTGCCACGTGCAAGCCTTTCTGCCAGCAGCGTACTGAACGCAGTGTCTCACTGAGGTTTTGCTTTGCATTTCCCCATGACTGCTGATGGCAAGTGTTTTCAAGTGGTTACCGGCCGTTTGTTTATTCAGAGCCTCTGCCCATTTAGAAATTCAGGTGGCTTTCATACTGAAGCGGTAAGAGTCCTTTATTGTTTTGGATCCAAGTTACCTCACCAACAAACACATCTATTTTTTTTCTAATGAGTAGGAAGTGAGTTCAGAGTGATTTGGGCTTAATCCTACTTCTGACACTTTATAGACAGAACAGAAGAAAGGCAAGCGGGGCATCACACCCCTCAACTCCAACCCCTAAGCCACACTGATCTTGCTGCCTCTCACCTGCCATGGACATGTCACGGGCGGGTCTGATAAGGCCTTTAGTGACCGGCCTAACCCTGTAACTATTTGCTTTTACTCTAGTAGTGCAGCCATTCTGTCTCCACACCGCTCCCCGAGCTGGCGTTTTAACCTACCAGTGAGTTGCAAGCTGCAATGGGTGGTTCTCTAAGTGAGATCAAGTGGAATTTAGCAGAGTTCACGTAACACATGAGGGTTCTGTGGAAGCTGTGTCTGTGCCTCATGCTTTCCAGTCATGGGCTCCAGACGAAATAACCATCAAATCTACACAGGAGTCCACAGTTTTAAAAAAAAAGTGGAACACACAGTCTGCTTAGTACACTGTTTACTCCCCCACGTTGTCAGTGTCGGTGAAGGTCCTAACGGTCCACGATGATGAGCAGGGCCTGGCAGCAAGCACAGACTGAGCCCTAGCCTGGGCCTCAGGTTGCCACGTGCCCGACAGCTGTTCCCCGCAGACACGTTACGCGATCCCCTCAGGACCCCACTTCCCCTCTTGCAAAATTACACCTACCTCACAGGATTATGAAAATCGGACACAGCATTTAGCACAGCAAAGGAGCTCAAGAAATGTTAGCTGATACTAGTTTTTAAATCCAAATTTACACAAAGAGTTCAACAGCTAAAACATAAAAGAGCTACTTTAGCAAGTGTGAGGTTCCAAACGAGAACACACTGAGCCTGTTCAAACTCCATGCTGAGCTTCCCCTGCCCCTGTCACCCCAGGCTCAAAGCCTCCTTTCTGTTCTAGATCAATCTCCCTCTGCCCTTTGGCACTCAGCCTCCTCTGCCTGGAATGAGCTCAGGTACCTGCCTGGCTCCGCCCTCAGCCGCTCAGATTTCAGCTGACGTGTCACGGCCCAGGGAAGTGCTCTGGACCTCTGAAAAGTCAGTGCTCCTTCTTCGAGCCCGCCTGACCCTGCTTTCTTTCCCGTCAGAGCTCAGGCCTATATTCACGTGTTTTCTGTCTCCTCGCTGAGATGCTACACAACTTGCAGGCGCCAGTATGCAAAACATGGCCTCTCACAGAGCCACCGCTCAGGACGTGGGTACCAGGAAAACACCCAGTTCTGTGGGTGGGATTTTCACTTCCCATCACCAAATTATATATTTAAACAAAACATTTATGACCGAAAGCTAACAAACTACCTTAGTGTGGGGACCAGGCAGCTGCAGAAAGCCCTCCCCATGAATGGAATGTAACTCCCAACATACCTTTTGCTTCCTTCATCGTCTGAGAGACAATTCTTCGGAGTGTCTGATCAGCTTGATGAAGCAAGCTAGTTGAACAAATCACCCGGTCTGTCTCCTAGGGAACAGACATTATTACTGGGACAGCTAGAGAGTTTTACGAAGGAAATGGTGAAAGCTCAGGAGCTCTAGGGTGGGTGACTGCATCATCACACGATGAGGTGTGAGGTTATCCCCCCAGAATAACAATGGTACAAACAAATGACAATGAAATTTGACTTTAAGAAATGGGGCCTCAGGTCTCCTGGTGGTGCAGGGGTTAAAATCTCAGCGCTATCCATCTATGTCCAGCTGCTATGGCCTGACTTTGATCCCTGGCCAGGGAGCCGACCCACCGGGCGCAGCCAACCTCTCCTGTCTGGCCCTCACTGTCTCTGGTGAATCCTCTCACCCTCTGCACCTCCGGCCTACACCCCAGTTCTTCTGCACAAAAATTAAAAAAAATAGAAATGACTAAAGTGTAGGCAACGCAAACTTGAAGAGACTGAAAGAAAAGTAAGTGGAATCCAAAGCCACTTCTCCTTCACGAGAACTGAGTGTACATGAAACACACCGGTTGTAAACTGGGCTCTGAGCAGTGGTGTCACGGGAATGTCTAGTAACTGGCTCCCCATTTCCCCAAAGGAAAGCCTACCCATAGGGCCTTTCCGTTCCTGAGGTGTAAATACCCCTGCTCATTTCCAAGCAGCCAACTTAGTGCCAGGAGGCTCCAATGTTGATGAAAACTGGACCGTCAGCTGAGAAGAGCCGGCCAGTGCGAGCTGCCTGCCTGGCCAAGGCACCTGCCGGCGCCGAGTGGGGCCCATGGCGGGGCGGCACGGCCTGGCCTCACCTTTCCCTCCTGGGTTGCACTCAGCCCAAAGCAGCCTTGCTGCAAAAAGTTGTTCCCACTCAGTTATACGAAATCCACCCAGGAAGATGTACCTTTTGTTCCACATTGTCCTCAACACGTTTTACTGGATTTTCCAAAGCAGTCTGCAGTAAATCAGTCAACTGCGAGCTGTAAGAAGGGGAAGGAGAGAATAATCCTTTCAGAGACAGATGCTGCCTAAGGACTTGTTTATGAATGCTACAATGAAAAGTGCTACAAATCCAAGATCCTCAACAACGGAGGAAAGGAGCTATCTGGAAGCTGCCTCCGACTTGCAAGATTCCAAAGCAAGTTATAAGCCAAAAAAATCCTTCTTTTAAACAAGATTACTTTCCCAAGGCTCCTGTCGAAAAGCTGGCTTTCCCCCAGTGCGCACTGAACTCCAGGCTGGCAGAACTCTGCGCCCTGAGGAAGGCGGCCCAGTGTGTACTTTTTTGCTTCTGCTTATTTGCTGGGTGTAGATGAACAAAGTTCCTCATCGGTCAAAGGACCATGAAGAGTTCAGGTTCAGGTGGACTCAGCTCATTTTTTTATTGAGCAACTTCCTTTTTAAAAAAAAAAAAAAAAAGATTTACTTATTTATGCACACAAGAACTGGGTATAGGCCAGAGGTGCAGGGGGTGAGAGGATTTGTCAGAGACAGAGTGAGGCGCAGAACAGTGAAAGCAGATCTAGTGAAATCCAGTGGTGAGGGGCGCAGTGGGCGGGTCAGGAGAGTCTGCCGCACCCTGGGGGTCCCTCCCTGGCAGGGGTCCAACTCCTGCCGCCCTTGGCTCCATGACTGCTGCGCCACCGGGAGGGCCTTGAGCAACTTCTTGTAAGAAAAATACCATGAAGCCACATGCAGGCTGGGCACACAGCAAGTCCCCTCCCTCCTTGACTCCTGCTAGTGGAGTGCAGAGACATAATAAATTGAAAATGGGAGCAGAAAACTTCAGGGAGTGGCAGCTACATGAACAAGTGAAGACAATACAGTGATAAAGATGTGGGCGAAGGGGCGGCCCAGCATCCCGCATGCTCGGACGGGCCGGGAAGGCTGGCAGGACGTTTGGGCAGGGAGCAGCGGGCAGCACGTGTAGAGGCGCTGAGACGTGCTTCTTGCGTTTATGGGGCGGAGAAGGCCAGTCTGTGAAACCAGCAAGGGGGGCCAGAGGGTGCGAGGTGGCTGAGGAGACGAGGGCGAGAGCCTGTAAGTGAGGGCAAGAACTCAGAATTTTACTGCAAGTAGAAGAGGCTGCACTGAAAAAGCTTGCAGCCAGTGGATGTGCTGAGTTAAATCTCACCCTCGAGATCATCTTTCTCACACTGACAAGAGCCCAGGACAGGAGTGAGTGAGTGAGTGAACTGCACTAGACCCAAATCTTGGCTCTCCCCTCAGATGTGTTATAGCTGGACCTCCTTCCCCGTCTCCAAGGCAGGGGTAACAGTAACAGAGTCTGTCTGAGGATGTCAGAACACGCCCAGTGCAGAGCGCGGCTCAGGGGTGCTTATAGCAGCTGCAGGCGGAGACGTGTTCACAGAGCCTAGGGCCGCTCACGTTTTTAGATCAACCTCAAGCAGCCCCTTCCCAATTCTGCTGTGTCTCTTGGGGAGTGTGGAAATAGGGGAAGTTCTGACGACCCAAGAGAGTGCGGTCGTGCTAAGGGCTGCACTGAAGCGCCAGAAAGACCTGGGCCACACTGGCCTCGAAGCGCTGCTGTCCTGCTGCTCCCCTGGGCCGTCTCAACCGCTCCACCCGGCACTGGCTTCTGAAGGGGGAAGGACGGAAGCATTCCGAGAGGAGTATTCGCTGTCTATGTGCCTGCTCCAACTTTCAGAACACGAAAGGGAAGTTAAAATCAGAAGCATCGGCAGTGACTCCTTCATAAACCTGACAAGCAAGTGACTTAAATCGAATTTGGGGCCTTTGTTCATGTGAAGCATGTGACAGTGTACTGTAAAATGCACAGATTCTATATTCTGGGAACGAAACATTTTAGGAAGAAGCTTTAAAAAAATTTTAAACTGGGCCTCCTTGGTGGGACAGGAGTTAAAGTCTCAGCACTGTCAAGCTCTCACCAGCCACTGCGGCACGAGTTCGATCCCCAGCCAGGGAGTGACCCAAGGCACAGCAGACGCCTCCTGTCTGGGCAGCAGACCTGCCTGTTCTGTTTCCTACAGTCTCTAGGGAAATCTTCTGCCCTCCCCCACTACACCTCGCCTCTGGGCCTAGGCCCCAGTTCTTTCATGCACAAATAAAAATAAATCTTAAACTTCTTAAAAAACTTTCACAATTTGCTGACCCCCCTGTGGACAACAGTCAGTAAGGAGCAGAGGCCACGTGGGTAGTAAATCTCCAGAGCGGCGCTCTCCTTAGCACCTGCCACTGGCCGCGCCAGGACACTAAGGGGAAAGGAATGAAAATGGAATTCAAAATTCAGGTCCTCAGTACACCGGCTACATCTCATGGCTAGCGGCTCCCCAGCCGGACAGCGCAAACAGAGAACAGCGCCAGCGTCTCCATCACCAGGGAGGTCACTAGAAGCGCGCTCTGGGCTGCTCTCAGGGTCCTCACGCGTGGGAAGCAACCAGCACCGCGGCCTAGGAGCCTCCCACACCCACAGTGCCGCTGGCGAGGAGCGAGCGAGTCCGGCTCAGTACCAGCTCCCGCTCCTTTTCTGTCAGAAAATTACTAACCGATCTAGTTGGACGCTGCTACTTTGGCAAGGGCATCCCCAAACATGAGCACGCTGAGTGCCCGGCTGTGGCCTCTGGGAGACAACATTCCCCTAATGGGGCAAAGTTCGCAAGCCAGCGGTTCAAACCTCAGCTGTCACAGCTCAGTATCTTGCCAACTGAACTTTCTCACTCGGTTTCCTCTTTCTAGGCAAAGAATCGCTCTCTGAGGCTGGCGGCAGGATCAGCCACGCGGGTGAAAGTAAAGCAGTGAGCCGGGGCCCGCCTCAGGGCGGCAGGGGAGGACAGCTCTGGGCAGGATACCTGGTCTCAGAAGAACACGCTGCGCTATGAATCATGAGGCTGTTGTGCTCCCAACCATTCTTCTCCGGATGGGGTTTCTCTATCTTCCCTCCCATCAGGTGGATGGTCTCGGCAGGCACTGCTCGTGGCCTCTGGCCGTTCCTCTCCAAGCAGGTCTCAAGAGCACAATCTAAAAAGACCTGACAAAAGCCTAAGGAATCTGAAAACAACCGGAAAGGACAAAATTACCGATACACTTTTTTTCCCAAAATGTGACACAAACGTATCAGACAAATCAGCCCAGCTGGAGCAGAAAAGCCCTTGTACCACACTGAATGTCCAGACAAACTTCCTAGTGCAATTCCTTCTACTAAAGACAAAAGTGATGTTGACATGGAAATAAACGCCTGTGTGTAAGCAAAGTTTCAATTACATTTCCGAGCCAGTTGGTAGACTTCGTATCTCATGCTTTGGTAGTAAAAGTTGTCATCTAGAATCAAAAGCAAAGGTCTGGACATAGCAGTCTTCGTTAGGGGGTAGCTGGGCCGTGCCTCTGCTGCTGCCGAAGAGATCAGATCTTGATCCTTTAAGCAGGCTGTAAAAGCTTCCCACATGACTTCAGTCCTTGTGGGTGGGACAGACATCTGGCCCCCACCGGTAGCACCGTTCAGGAAGTATTCTAGGTATTTCAACAGTTCCTGTCGAAGTAGTTTCCACTGGGATGGCTACAAAGAAAGAATTGCACTCTCTGTGAATTAGGTTTTCACCAGGAAAATGCCCCAGCTGGAAATTCCAGCCCCCAACACTGAGCCATCTTTAGTTCTCGACACTGTTTTCTCACTCCTCTGTGCCTTCGTCGCTAGCATCCCTGGGCCTGGAAGACGCCTCCCCAGTGATGCTAGTCCTCTGCTAAGTCGTCTCAGACTCAAACCACGCAGAAGGCAGCTCAGACACCCTCGCGGCTCTCCACCTTTCTTGACCCTCCACTCTCCCTACATATCCGGCCTGCACCCTGGCAGGGTTTAGCGTGTGATCTCTAGCCCCTGCGAGATCAACAGCCCAACAACATATGCCAGCCTCCAGCAGAGGCCCCTGATTTGGAGCGCCAGATACAGCGGCTAAGTGGCTAAGTGAAAGAATGAAAATGTTATCACCCAGGAGAAAAGAGTTGCCAAAATCAATATCCTGTCAAAATAAAACACTCTGGCTAATATTAAAGGTTTCCTTGAAATGAGAAACATGGTGGGAAGAAAGAGATGAGTGTAAAGTTCCCCAGGCCAAGAGGGAAAGACCTTGAGTTAACCCCAGAGTCGAAGTGGACAGGAAAAGCGAGAAAGAAGGCCAAGGGGAAAAGAACAGATAGCTTGAAAATACGAAGTCTGTGCTTCTGTGAGAGCAGGACACTCTGAGGGCAGGGTTGGAGGGTAAACGAGGACAGGAGCTGAAGCCCTCTTCTGGCCCGTCTGTGCACTGAAGAGGAAAACACCTGCAGTTAATACAACAGCTAAACCCCCTAACCAGGAGGCACTGATAACTCCCTACAGCTGAGCTATCCCGCACACAGCGCCCAGCACACCCCACTGCCTTCGACTCTACTGGAAGGTGGAAAAAGGCAACAGTAAGAGTGAGGGAAAGGAGCGGCAAATACACTAATTCCTACCAATGGCTTCAATTTTCACCCAAATGATGAAAACACACATCCAAGCAAATCTGGCGTTACTGTGGTCCTCCGGCTCTATTTAGAGACAAGTAGCCAAGAACAGAGAAGTATGTGACTTGGCCGAACTGACCCCTTCTTTTCACCAAATGTACTTAATATTTCACCTACAGAGTGGAATCTTCTATTTGCGTTATATTTACACTCCAGCATTAAAAAAAAATCTATTCAAAATTTTTAGACTATTTCAATCAAAGGGTATATACTCCAGAAGGAGCTGAGAAGGGAAATATGAAATCTACGTCTTCCTCTGACGTCTGTTTTCATGTTTCTCCAAGGGGCAGCATCTCACTGCATTGTGAGCCTTAAAGAAATGTGTACTTGGAACTTACAAGTTGGCTCTTAGCTAGATACAAGCCCCTCAATTCATTCGGTGGTCTGTTAAGAAACAGCCATTTCCCCACTGGCAGAGGCCGACTAACTCTGAGATAAAGACTGCTTCAGCGGCCCGCGACCCTTCATTTGTACACTCTCTCTATCATCATGAGAGGAACCCTAGCGACACTGTTACTTGTCAGAGCCTGTTCTTTTTCTTCAAAAAGGGTGTCCAAAAATGTGCAAAATCCTGAAATCACCCCACAAAACCTGAACTCACCTGTGGCTGGAAGTAACAGGCTGTATCAGAATTTCTCAGAGATTCTGTCCCACTCCTGAGCAGAACCTTCGCAAAGGTCCTCCAAGAGTCATTTCAACCATGCGGGATTTCCATTTTGCAGGCTGACTTCGGTACCTAATAGCGTCTTAAGCCTCCACTGCACAGAATATGCACCGCCTACCTGCCCGGATGCTACACATCTCTCTACAGTGAGTTATCCTAGGATGCTTTCCGTGTGTATTTTATAATCTATTCCTAGTCAGCTCCTCCTAGGTCAAACTTTCCCGAATTCGTCTCTCTAATCAGGGATGCACCTTCCTCACCGCGCACAGCGTCAGCCGGAGGCGCAGGTGCAAGCAGGTGGGGCCGGCGCGTTTACCTGGGCCACAGAAGCCGAGGCCCCGCCCCCTCCCCACTGACCAATGGCGGCTCGCTGGCCTCCGGGAGGAACGCGTCGGGCATGACGTCATCGTAGGCGACGACGCCGACGGCCCAGGCCTGCTCCCGCCGCAGCCGGTGGCTCAGCGCCCGCGCGAGGGTAGACTTTCCCGCTCCCGGCAGCCCGCAGAGGACGCAGAGTGCTAGCTTCTGCGGCCCCTCGCCGCGTGCTCCTCCGCCGTCGTCGCCGGTTCTCATGCTGCTCAGAGAGACCGAAGTCGCCGGTACCAGAAATGTCCCCCGGTCGCCCGCCGCGCACGCGCAGTCTCCCACGGCCCGACTGCGCCGCCTGGCGCCGCGACGGGGGAACCGACGCGTCCAACCCAGGAGCGCCTCACTGTCGCGGCTGTTTCCAGGAGAATGTCTCTTGGGTCCCTAAGCCCCAGCGCGGGCTCTGTGTGGGCGAGTCCTCACCACGCTGAGTCTCCTAACGCCTGGGCGTTTCCCAGGGGGCCCCGGAATGGCACTTAGTTTTCTTGCAGGCCTATAGGATTTGCGCTTCGGCTTTCTAACGATGCAGTCCCCTGCCCGGGAAAATCCCAGAAGTCTTTGAGCCTCTGCCCTCAGCGCTCTTTGCAAACGTCTATTCCTGGAAATCAAGAAGGGGAGGCCGAGCAGACACGGTCAACTGTGCTGCGGGTCCCAATGGTGCTGCACCTACATATGATAGGAGGAACGGCATAGTGAATATTAGTCATGCTGCCTATGATCTTTTGGCTTACTCTATTCACTATTATTACTATAGAGTCATCCATAGGATTGCACATTGATGCACTGAATATTTCATTATGTAAATTTATCGTAGTTTATTCATCCTGATGATGGATACTAGTTTTAATACTTTGCTATTGTGAATGGTGCTGCTGTGAGCATTGATTTTAATGTTCCCTGTTGCATATATGTAAAATTACTGAGTCTGTATCTAAGTGGAAGTTTAGAATATGTGAAACTGTTTTAAGTTATTGCATCAATATGCATTCTCATTAACAATGTATAAGAAACTCAGTGGATCCATTTCCTCTAATAGTCGATATTAACTTTTACCAAGAGGATAGAAAATGATCTCACTGGTCTTGGTTTGCATGTCCCTAATCATAAATGAGGTTGCTTAGCGCATCATTTGTTTGCTCAAAACTTTTGGCCAGGAGTACTCTTCTGTGAAATGCAAGTTCTTTTGTTTGTTTTGCCATTTTTTGCTTGATTGTGCTTTTCTTCATTTGTTAAGTTTCATTATATGGCACCCATCACATATTCCTTATGTCATCCCTGTGGGCCTTGAGGGGAATGGCAAACTGAAAGAATCCAGTATAAAGCCCTGGTGGTTGCTTTCGAATGTCTTTTTCTCTAGCCCAGTAGTCCATCTTCTATGAACACCATGAAAAAGTAACAACCTCTAGCTGTTAGTTTGTAAGTAAGGTAAAACTCTGTGTCTGCACAATTCATGATAGTTTTGGTGATGAATATTGAAAGCAAACGCTTTCTGGACAAGGAAGGACAAAACGATGCTAAAGCCTCAGTTAGAATGTATTAGGATCCTCAGAACCTGCAAGCAAATGCCTCTTGTCCAAGTGGGGGACAGGGCACAGGTCTCCCATGTCCTACCTGTTAAATCTCTAGATAATGGATGGTGAGAGGTAGGATTGAAACAGCAGCCCAAGTGGCATCTTAGTTGTTGATGGGCCATCAGGTGGGATGAAGAAGGAATTTACCATGACAACAGGGGAGTAAGGTCTGAGTCTCTGCTGAAAGGCTATTGGGTTGCAGCTGCTGAGTCACGAGGCCCAAAGTTCCAAGGATGTCTGCAATACAGAGCTTTGGGGAGAAATTTAATTCATTTATGGCAACTGAACAGGCAGGTGCCTGTTGGAACTTGAATACAAATGCCTTCATTCGGGGGTTAGACGGCCCTGCCCTTGAACTCCACACTCCAACCTCAGTGATATGAGGGTAAAGCTAAGGAAGCAGAGCACTGGGAAGAGAAAATATATATTGCTCCACTGTATAGGAGACAACATGCTAAGACAGACTCGGTTTGGTGTCACCACAATATTTACAAAGGGCAATAGGTGAATCACCCCTATCTCAGAATGACCCCATCTCCCTTACATGTAAACATGTAGCCTAAAGGGGCACAGGTCACTGTTGCTCCGGATTTGTCCAATTGATGAACCTTACTATTACACTAGATGGGTTAAGTCACAGGGGCAGTGTCAGCAAAGACTGCAGACTCAGGTGTCATCGGAGCCGGTCTCTGTTCCTTTCAAGCCTCAGAAGCAAGAAGGCTGCTTGGTAACTTGAAGTTGGATCAGTCATTCAGCTTTGACTTTGGGAAAGGCTGCTTGACTCAACTCAGACTAATTCTGAAATATCATTCTGCCACACGGGGCCTTGGGCATTTTGTAGGGTGCTGCCTTC